TCAGTACAAGGTCCTGCCCTTCGGGCTGTCCCTGTCGCTCCGTGTCTTCACCAAAGTCGCGGAGGTGGCCCTTGTTCCCTTGAGAGAACAGGGTGTTTGCATCTCCATTGGCACGGTGGTCATAGAAATCGCAGTTCAGCTGGCGAAGGGTGCGATAGAGCCGGCCCCTCTAGCCGATATGAGGATGTGTCCAAGAAGAGCGGTGGGTTACGACCAATCTTGGACCTGCAAGTTTTGAATTGCATGCTTCACAAGCTGCCGTTCAAAATGTTGACGCAGAAACACATTTTCGAGTGCATACCTCCCCAAGACTGGTTTGCAGCGATCGAAATGAAGGACGCATACTTTCATGTCTCGATCCTCCTACGACAAAGGCCATTCCTGCATTTCGCCTTCAAGGGTCCGGCATATCAGTACAAGGTCCTGCCCTTCGGGCTGTCCCTGTCGCTATATTGGCCCAACAGGACCTGGTATCCGGAACTCATGCTCCTCACGACAGCCCCCCTCTGGCAGATTCCTCTGAGGAAGGATCTGCTTTTTCAGAGATGGGGCACCCTCTGGCACCTGCGTCCGAACCTGTGGAAACTCCATATATGGTCCCTGGATGGGACACGGAGGTTCTAGTTGACCTACCCCAGAAGGTACTATCGCTTCAGCACAAGCACCGTTCATGAGGCGGGCCTATGCTTTGAAGTGGAACCTGTTAGTCGACTGGTGTTCCTCTCACCGAGAGGACCCCCGGAAATGTTCGATCAGTGCCGTGCTTTCCTTCTTGCAGCAAGGGTTGGAGCGTAGGCTGTCCCCCTCCACCCTTAAGGTTTACGTTGCTGCTATCTCCGCACACGGTGAGGAAGCATGACCTGGTCGTCAGGTTCCTTAGGGGGGCCAGAAGGTTAAATCCTCCTAGGTCCCCCTCCTTACCCCCTTGGGATTTAGTATTGGTGCTAAGAGCCCTACAAACTGCTCCCTTCGAGCCTTTGGAGTCAGTCGAGTTGAAGTTTCTCTCCATGAAACCCCTACTCCTGACTGTATTGGCCTTGATTAAGAGGGTGGGGGACCTGCAGGTATTTTTGGTCGACGAATTGTGCCTTGAGTTTGGGCCGGCTGACTCCAGTGCAACACTGAGACCCCGGCCTGGCTATGTGCCCAAGATTCCTACCACTCCCTTCAGGGACCAGGTGGTGAACCTGCAAGCGCTGCCCCTGGAGGAGGCAGACCCAGCCCTAGCTTTGCTCTGTCCTGTACGTGCACTGCGGCAGTACATGGATAGAACTCAGAGCTTTAGGTCCTCAGAGCAGCTCTTTGTCTGTTACGGAGGACAGCAGAAGGGGAAAGCTGTCTCCAAGCAGAGGATGGCCCACTGGATAGTGGATGCCATCACCTTGGCCTATGAGGCACAATGTGTGCCCTGCCCACTCAGGCTGCATGCTCACTCCACTAGGGGTGTCGCATCGTCCTGGGTGCTGGCTTGTGGTACCTCACTAGCAGATATTTGTAGAGCTGCGGGCTGGGCGACTCCTAACACGTTCGCTAGGTTCTATAGCCTACGTGACGAACCAGTTTCTTCCTGTGTTCTCACCTCAATCGGGTAGTGGCACTGAGAGGCCCAGTTCAGAGTCGGCTTGTGGTGTTCATAATGCCTAGTTCTTCAGAGAGCTCCCTAACCAGGCAAACCCTGTCGAGTCCTCCAGCACTCAGGCGGCCGGACGTGGCGGAGCGTCCAGTGCCAGGCCTTTCATCCAATGAATTCCTGAAATCTGGTGTGAGACTAGTGCCCATATGAGTGACCCTGTTGGGATCCCATAAGTTTATTTCCACGGTACAGTTACTAGGGCCGTGTTTCCCCTGGCAGGCTATGCTCTGCCGTCTCTAGATGATGCAGCCTGAGCCATCTCAGAGACTTCCATGTGCAATAGGACCGTTTTGGGTTACTCCACATGAGTAAATGTCACTCCACCCCCTCTGGGAGAAGTTGACTCTGCAGCATGCCTCTTCCAAGTAGGAAGGGCACACTTTCCCAGTGTTATCCAAGTCCTACTGTTTGGGTTGCTTGAGGAACAGCAGTAGTCGACCTTCTCTGTGTAGAGCACGTTCCTATCGTCTGCCTTATAGGAAGGTTTAGGAGGCATACACAGGGCACTGGAGGGGGCAGCACCTGTGGCGTGTTGGTAGGAATTCCCAATTCCCAAACTGAAAGGGAATGTCACATTTACATTTGTAACGGAGACGTCACGTCCCTTCGCCACAGTTGCTGTACCGCCACTGAGCTGCCGGGTCCCTGGGTCGGCTCCTCACGAAAACATGAATGAATGCGGTGCACCTGCTGCCTCTTATACCTGTGCGGGTGTGGCAGCCAGATGCGAATGTCACATGCCAATGTCCATTGGCTTGTTTAGTTACACTCGAAGTGGATTGGTCTCTCTTGCGAGATTCCCCAATTCGTCGGTCACCGACGTGACATCTCTGTTTCCTCCTTCAGGGGACGAGGGTTACAAATGTAACCGAGATGTTATCTTTTGCTGTAATACTGTCAAAACCCAAAAGATTTACATATAGACCCAGTTGGTTGTGTCTAAAATGAAAGTAAACAGTTGAGAAAAAAATGGATACTTGCCTGTATTATTACATGAGTGCAGGTCTTAAAGGGACGGTACTAGACATGCTAAGAACTGTCATTAAAGGGATAGTTCACCCTAAAGTTTAATTTCTGTCATTATTTACTCACACACATGTTGTCCCAAACCTGTATTAATTTCTTTCTTGTGCTGAACACAAAAGAAGATATTTTGAAAAATGTGGGTATCCAAACAGTTGCTGGCCCCCATTGACTTTGATAGCAGGAAAAAATTACTATGGAAGTCACTGGGGACCAGCAACTGTTTGATTACCCACATTCTTCAAAATAACATTTATGTTAAGCAGAAGAAAGAAACTCATGCAGGTTTAAAACTTCTTTGGAGTGAGTAAATGATGGTATAAAAATAAAACACTATGACAGCATTGACAGACAGATGACAGCATTTTTACTTTTGGGTGAAATAGTCCTTTAAAGGGAATATTCCTTGTCAAAACAGCTCTTTTCACAGCAAGCCGTTTCAGTGCATTTCTCTTTAAATGGTAATGAGCTCTGCTATCCCTGCCCCTCTCCCTCCGTGGGATGATGCGTGGTTCTCTGAGAGACTGTAAACTTTAGCCATATTCATCGTGAAACTTGCTAACTAGCACATTATTAGGAAAGGTGATTTGCAAAATTCATTAAAAAACTTATACTCACTTCTTCTGGAGGTGAAGCTGAATCATGAATGATTTGCACAAACATAAATGCATTTAGGCAGATCAGGGGATGCATTCCCTTCAAAAACAAACATACTTCACTGCGTCTTCAGTGGCTCAGATGTCGGGAGTAAATGACAACTGCTATGTTCATTATTACATCCAACAACAAAACATCTCAATCACTTAAGAGACATTCTTGTCTACAACTGCTCTGGCGTCGAAACAATGGCGGACTGATGACAGCTTACTCAGGCAGGTCTAAGGTAAAATGCTAGTGTCAATCAACAATCGTGGGAGGGGCCTGGGTCTGTGTGACGTCAGACAGCCAAGAATCTGAGAACGGCTTGATTTGAAAAAAGGGATATTATTTATCTGGATTTAAAAACAAAAACAAACACTGGGTGGATTTTTATCATTATAGGGTGGTTGTGTACACACACTGCCAACACACATTTCAGTTCAAATAACATGTAAAAGTGAATTTTGCATCAGATGACCCTTTTAATGTTTATAAAACAACAAGAGAAAATCACTCACTAGTCTTGACTGAAAAACTTTAATGCAGTTGCTTTAATAGGAATCAATAGTGTTTTAGTTTTATATTTGTTCATTCAATTTCTTGAATGCTCTGGCTAAATACACCTATTGTACCTGAAAATAAAACACTGTTTGTTTTATTTGTATATTATGTGTATTTGTAATGTGTATCTTTGTTCTTATTTTTTAATAACAAAGATAAAATAATGACAAAGATTTTTAATCTTCGCCCACTTTGGCCTACATATCTGTCATTCTTTTTTATATTTTGTTATCTTTTAAGGCTTTATATTTATAACAGGGAAATTAGTTTGGTTGTACTGCTTAGACAGCTTGCAAAATAGTAAAATTTGGAATGGTGATACAATTGTGAATCGTGATATTTAAAAAAAAAAGAAAACTTGATATATTTTTGCCATACTGCCCACCCCTACATCAGCTACTGATGCAGTGAGTCATTCCCTATTCAGGAGATCAGGGTTACATATGTAACCAAGATCTCTTTCAGAAAACTTAATAAACACAGACAGAAAAAAGACTGTTAAATAGCATATGGATGCTTTTTGGATGATTCTATTTCTGCATTAAAAAGTAGTTAAACTGTCAGAGCCGATGGTCTTGTGGGCAGCACCCTGACACATAACATGGTTGTGCTCCTGGCGACCTAAGTTCAAGTCCTGTATTTTATGATTAATTTCCATCTTCCACATTATTTTCTATCAAATGTATACTTCACTCTGCCAAAAATAAAGTAGTTGGGCTGTCAGAGCCATAGCCTGATACTTTCACGTATCGTGTAACAGTGCTTGGTGTACACCCGAGTTTGAATTCTGACTCAAGGTCTTTTCTCATTCCCCTCTCTCCTGTTATTACTGTTGCTAAAATTCAGGCCTTGGCCAAAAAATTAATTGGCTTATACAGTTTGACAAATTAAAATTCTTTTGACAACTCTTTTCATGAGTGTCTCTAATACCTACATACTTTTTAGTATTAACAATGGTTTACAACAATAGTTGATGTACAGCTGTAAGGCTTAAACTACATACACACACCCTCCTGTGTCTGATCTCTTGATTAATAATTCATGACAACCTGATCCTCATAAATTAAACATCATTGTGCGGAGTATTTGAAACCTGCAAAAATGCTCTATGTATGATGTGATGTGTGTGTGCATGTGTGTGTACCTGTCTCGCACAGCCAAAGTGATCTTCTCTGGGTTGGCATTCTTAAGCTCCTTATGTGCATTATCACTACTCCAGCCGGCACATGATTTGCCATTGATCTGCAGAATCTGATCACCAAAGCGCAGCCCTGCCAGTGCTGCAGGAGTGTTGGCCTGCACTAATTGCACAAACACGCCCTGAAACACACATTTGGAAATGTTAATCCGTCCCTTCGCCACAGTTGCTGTACCGCCACTGAGCTGCCGGGTCCCTGGGTCGGCTCCTCACGAAAACATGAATGAATGCGGTGCACCTGCTGCCTCTTATACCTGTGCGGGTGTGGCAGCCAGATGCGAATGTCACATGCCAATGTCCATTGGCTTGTTTAGTTACACTCGAAGTGGATTGGTCTCTCTTGCGAGATTCCCCAATTCGTCGGTCACCGACGTGACATCTCTGTTTCCTCCTTCAGGGGACGAGGGTTACAAATGTAACCGAGATGTTATCTTTTGCTGTAATACTGTCAAAACCCAAAAGATTTACATATAGACCCAGTTGGTTGTGTCTAAAATGAAAGTAAACAGTTGAGAAAAAAATGGATACTTGCCTGTATTATTACATGAGTGCAGGTCTTAAAGGGACGGTACTAGACATGCTAACAACTGTCATTAAAGGGATAGTTCACCCTAAAGTTTAATTTCTGTCATTATTTACTCACTCACATGTTGTCCCAAACCTGTATTAATTTCTTTCTTGTGCTGAACACAAAAGAAGATATTTTGAAAAATGTGGGTATCCAAACAGTTGCTGGCCCCCATTGACTTTGATAGCAGGAAAAAATTACTATGGAAGTCACTGGGGACCAGCAATGTGGGTTTGATTACCCACATTCTTCAAAATAACATTTATGTTCAGCAGAAGAAAGAAACTCATGCAGGTTTAAAACTTCTTTGGAGTGAGTAAATGATGGTATAAAAATAAAACACTATGACAGCATTGACAGACAGATGACAGCATTTTTACTTTTGGGTGAAATAGTCCTTTAAAGGGAATATTCCTTGTCAAAACAGCTCTTTTCACAGCAAGCCGTTTCAGTGCATTTCTCTTTAAATGGTAATGAGCTCTGCTATCCCTGCCCCTCTCCCTCCGTGGGATGATGCGTGGTTCTCTGAGAGACTGTAAACTTTAGCCATATTCATCGTGAAACTTGCTAACTAGCACATTATTAGGAAAGGTGATTTGCAAAATTCATTAAAAAACTTATACTCACTTCTTCTGGAGGTGAAGCTGAATCATGAATGATTTGCACAAACATAAACGCATTTAGGCAGATCAGGGGATGCATTCCCTTCAAAAACAAACATACTTCACTGTGTCTTCAGTGGCTCAGATGTCGGGAGTAAATGACAACTGCTATGTTCATTATTACATCCAACAACAAAACATCTCAATCACTTAAGAGACATTCTTGTCTACAACTGCTCTGGCGTCGAAACAATGGCGGACTGATGACAGCTTACTCAGGCAGGTCTAAGGTAAAATGCTAGTGTCAATCAACAATCGTGGGAGGGGCCTGGGTCTGTGTGACGTCAGACAGCCAAGAATCTGAGAACGGCTTGATTTGAAAAAAGGGATATTATTTATCTGGATTTAAAAACAAAAACAAACACTGGGTGGATTTTTATCATTATAGGGTGGTTGTGTACACACACTGCCAACACACATTTCAGTTCAAATAACATGTAAAAGTGAATTTTGCATCAGATGACCCTTTTAATGTTTATAAAACAACAAGAGAAAATCACTCACTAGTCTTGACTGAAAAACTTTAATGCAGTTGCTTTAATAGGAATCAATAGTGTTTTAGTTTTATATTTGTTCATTCAATTTCTTGAATGCTCTGGCTAAATACACCTATTGTACCTGAAAATAAAACACTGTTTGTTTTATTTGTATATTATGTGTATTTGTAATGTGTATCTTTGTTCTTATTTTTTAATAACAAAGATAAAATAATGACAAAGATTTTTAATCTTCGCCCACTTTGGCCTACATATCTGTCATTCTTTTTTATATTTTGTTATCTTGTAAGGCTTTATCTTTATAACAGGGAAATTAGTTTGGTTGTACTGCTTAGACAGCTTGCAAAATAGTAAAATTTGGAATGGTGATACAATTGTGAATCGTGATATTTAAAAAAAAAAGAAAACTTGATATATTTTTGCCATACTGCCCACCCCTACATCAGCTACTGATGCAGTGAGTCATTCCCTATTAGTAAATGATGGTATAAAAATAAAACACTATGACAGCATTGACAGACAGATGACAGCATTTTTACTTTTGGGTGAAATAGTCCTTTAAAGGGAATATTCCTTGTCAAAACAGCTCTTTTCACAGCAAGCCGTTTCAGTGCATTTCTCTTTAAATGGTAATGAGCTCTGCTATCCCTGCCCCTCACCCTCCGTGGGATGATGCGTGGTTCTCTGAGAGACTGTAAACTTTAGCCATATTCATCGTGAAACTTGCTAACTAGCACATTATTAGGAAAGGTGATAAACTGTCAGAGCCGATGGTCTTGTGGGCAGCACCCTGACACATAACATGGTTGTGCTCCTGGCGACCTAAGTTCAAGTCCTGTATTTTATGATTAATTTCCATCTTCCACATTATTTTCTATCAAATGTATACTTCACTCTGCCAAAAATAAAGTAGTTGGGCTGTCAGAGCCATAGCCTGATACTTTCACGTATCGTGTAACAGTGCTTGGTGTACACCCGAGTTTGAATTCTGACTCAAGGTCTTTTCTCATTCCCCTCTCTCCTGTTATTACTGTTGCTAAAATTCAGGCCTTGGCCAAAAAATTAATTGGCTTATACAGTTTGACAAATTAAAATTCTTTTGACAACTCTTTTCATGAGTGTCTCTAATACCTACATACTTTTTAGTATTAACAATGGTTTACAACAATAGTTGATGTACAGCTGTAAGGCTTAAACTACATACACACACCCTCCTGTGTCTGATCTCTTCATGAATAATTCATGACAACCTGATCCTCATAAATTAAACATCATTGTGCGGAGTATTTGAAACCTGCAAAAATGCTCTATGTATGATGTGATGTGTGTGTGCATGTGTGTGTACCTGTCTCGCACAGCCAAAGTGATCTTCTCTGGGTTGGCATTCTTAAGCTCCTTATGTGCATTATCACTACTCCAGCCGGCACATGATTTGCCATTGATCTGCAGAATCTGATCACCAAAGCGCAGCCCTGCCAGTGCTGCAGGAGTGTTGGCCTGCACTAATTGCACAAACACGCCCTGAAACACACATTTGGAAATGTTAATCTGAGATTACCCATTATAATTTTGGGGTGTAATGTTATGATGTGAATGTGGATGTCATTCATTAAAACATAGAACACTTAGAAATTATTAAAATATCTAAATGTTTGAAACATTTTTCAGCTAAAAACGGCAGACTATTGACATGTTGCAATAGATTCTCGCTTGTTGGATTGTTAGATTAATAAATTATATTAATTCAAGTTTAAAAGTTAAAGTATTTATAACATTAAATAAATACATTATCTATGACTTTGAGGCGGAGGCCAATCTTCCCATCCATGTCTTTGCACAGCACCACCTCCCGTACACCCTGTCGAATCTCTGCCCGCTTCACCCCCAGGTCACTTCCGGTTATGGGGGCTGCCGCCCAGCTCATTCCATGTGTGCAGACACTAAGAGCCTAAAAAGCATTGGGGAATATATAATACTGCAAAAAATATTTAGTCAAATTACCCAAAATATACTTCCTGCGGTAACATCTCAATTAATTGGTTTTATTCAAGTTAAATATATTATTTTAAGTGACTGTAATCAAGATGACATTAAGTTATACCAATGAAAGTAATTTAAAACAAGTAAGGTAAAAACAGCTTCCTAAGGGTGCAGTATATAATATTGACAGCTAGCAGTTGAAATGGGGACTGCAGTCCAAATTCAAAATATTGGAGTCGTTTGTCAGGCTCCTCTTCAGACTCAATGCTCATACGGGTTGCCAGATTAGGACACACAAGAGGAATGAGCACAACTGACAATGGAAGGCAACGAGACTTATAATGTAAATTGTTTAGTTGATTTATCTGTGTTTTATTATTCCTCTTGTTATAGAGCTTTTTAGATGGATACCGAGGCTTTTTAGGCTGGGTAGAATCTCTGTTCGACAGTTCATTTGTTATCTCCCATGGCTGCAATACGCTGTGTTTTGCACCAACTGGAAACCCGGGATGTCAAAATACCATTGGGTAAATTGGCAGTGGGCGGAATCACAAAGAGCAAAACAAAAAACAGACATTCTGACACGGAACACACTTTTCAAAATTAGAATAACTGCCTGTAGCATTGTTTTCAGAGAAACTAGTATGTGAACTTTTTTTTAAACTATGTTGTGTTATGCTTTTAAAATTGAATATAAGATAATATACTGTAATATATGTATGTTATATACTGCCATTCTGGTGTGCTCCTCTCTTTCCCTGGTCCTTTTGGTTTTGTAACGTGGGGTTCGGGTTTTGTTTCTTGTTTAGGTTTTTTGGTCTTTTATTTTGATATTTTGCCTTGTTTCATGTTCCTGTCACGTGTTTCTTGCCCCTCATGTGATCATGTCATGTGCTACTCTTGTCTGTGTGCCATGTTGTGATTGGTTGCTTTAGTCATGTGCCTTGTTTTCCATTGGTTGGTTTGTGTCATGTGACCTTTATTGTTTGGCATTTATATTGTCTGGTGAGAGCAGCCTCTTGCAGTCGGGGCGGAATTAAAAGCGGAGACGTCAAGTCAGACACTTTCTGCTTCCGGCAATGACGCTCTCGCAGTGTTTGCATACTCTATCACAGATAAAGTGAATTAAATGCAATATTTCTCAAATACACAGAAACATTTTTATTGGCAACAGAAACACTTTTTATATACTGCTTAATACAGCGCCATCTGTTCAAGAATAAAGTTCAACATAGACAAATAGGCTACTAAATACCAATAAAGTGGAGGTATATATATTTAAATAAGTGAAGTGAAGTGAAGTGACATGTGGCCAAGTATGGTGACCCATACTCGGAATTAGTGCTCTGCATTTACCCATCCAATGTGCACACACACAGCAGTGAACACACACTCGGAGCAGTAATATAATAATATTATATAAATAATAATATAAATATATATATAATATATATATATTTTGATAAACATGACTCAAGACAACAGTGCGACTACACTAAAAAAGCTTTTACTGTTATAAAAAACACAAATTGTTAGAATAAACGCAACACACGTCGTGGTTGTCATCACAGAATCTGACCAATGAGAATAAAGCATGTCATCATCAAGGCTCTCACAGCCGATTTTGAGCAACTGCAGCGTCTGACCTCGGCGGCTGGTCTCGTTTGCTCTCGCGGTACTTTGATGGCCCATGTGATCATAAAAGCCCAATTTATACTTCTGCGTCGAACCTACGCTATAGCTTACACGTCAGACGCCGTAGCCTGTCGTGCACCTCTCCAAAAATCTAACAGCGCGTCAATTCTACGCAGACCGCGAGCGCTGTGATTGGTCTGCTAGAACCCCTACCTCCGTATGTACTTGAGTTTTGTGTGTGTTTATGTGCACTTTAATATATTTTAATGTTACATTATATAAAATAAAACAAAGCAAAGAACAAGTGTTTTATTTATTATACTACATAGCATTATACATCAGTATTTGTCCGCGACAAACAATGTTGATCTGCCGTGGTACAAGTCCTTGTGGAGATTGAAAGTATGCCATCTTCTCCTGTTCCGTTGTTGTCTCCTTTTTGTAGTTTTAAATAATGATTTGGTATTTATTTGCCGCCGTCACGGCTATAATGCTTCTCCGACGAGCGGCTTCTTCTTCGGCTTTTACCGTGGTACTGTGGGTTACATCAGCAACATGCCCGTGGACACTGTAGACTAGCGGTTTGTATGTGTACTGCACGTTGACGCGGACAGCGACACAGAACTATAAATGATTTCGCTTTAATTCTCGGGCTCTAACTCGTTCGCTAAACTGAACATGCAATCAGAGCTCTCACTAGCGCCAACGGTCCCGACGGCCCCGACACCGATTCAACATGCACGGTCAAACTGCCGCCGACGTGAGCCCGACGAGAGCCGATGAGTGGAACACACCAAACACATAACTAGCCCGACCGTCGCTTGCCGTCGGCCTGACGTTGGCCAATGGCCGACCATCGGCTTGGTGTGTCCCAGCCTTTAACCTCTGTTTGGTGAGTTGTTTCATGTCTGTATAGTCAAGTCAAGCCAAGTCTAGTCAAGTCTTTGTGTTTTGTTTGGATTTTTGGATTTCACTCTGTATAATAAATCTGAACTTGGATTCATCTACAACTTGCCGTTCAGTGGACCATCATTACAGGTTTGTTACAGTATATTAGTTTACCATAAATGCCTATCAGTACTTTCGGAAACAAGCATTAACCTTATTTCACAGACCACGGAATTAATTATGAAATGACATATAAAGTTGTACTTAAGTCCGAAGTGTGATGTGTCTTCTGTTTTCTAGGACTCTTAAGCTGCGTGCGAAATCGCATACTTCCATACAATATAGTAGGCGAAAAACAGTATGCGAGGCGAGTAGTATGTCCGAATTCATAGTATTTGAAAAACAGTAGGCGAGAAGTACCCGGATGACCTACTACTTCCGCCCGAATTCCGTAGCATGCATACGATGGACACTTTACTATCCCATGAGGCCACGGGAGAGGAGGCGTCATATTCGAAAATGGCGGAAGGCGGCGACACGACTCTTTTCAAGTGTAATTACCTCAGGGAAAAACGTTGTTCATTGTGGTTAAATTGCACTTGTTCAACATGATCTAAGTGAACGGCTGACTTATTGAATGTTTAAACATTGTAAATCGATGAGATGATTTCGTGAATCGGCCGTAAAAAGATGTTTAATCATTGTTATTACTGAGCACATCAAGTTAACGAACAGATCGAGCTAGTGTCAGTGCTGTTGTACATCAGCTTGTTAACTGCTTTTTTAACGGAGACGTTCGACGTTAAAACGCAGATGAAAGCGGTAAGAAGAAACCTTTCTGATGTTCGCGCAGTAGTGAGGGCTCTTTAAATTTTGGCACTGTTGTGAAGACGCATGTCACGTGACAACATCAATATGGCGGATGTAGTACGTCCGAATTCCATTCATACTACTCTCATTCATACTATATAGAACGTACTTTTTTAACGGTCGAGTAGTACGTTCAAATTCAAAATGTAGTACCTACTAAGCAGTATGCGATTTCGGACGCACCCTTAGTTTGAGGTTTTCTTGGATTCTTACTTTTTTTTTTCATTGTGGTATATTTACATTCCTGTTGCTTTTTTCCTGTTTCCTTGGTTACAGAATCATGTTCACCTGAATATAGTTTCGTTCCTTATTTTATTTTGTGATTTATGCCTTCTTTTTGTTTGTCTTTTAGTCATGGATTGTTTTCACTTGTGAATAAAAGGCAAAAAGTAAATAATTTCTGTAGTAAGTACTTTTTTTTTAAATGCATGCAAAGTGTACTTCTTTTTCACTTCTTTTTCAAGAGAATGTCTTGTTTTTGTGTGTTATTTTGAAAAAGGGAATAAGCTGATGCGCAGTTCTCAGGCATAAACACACTCACCCCACTGGTCTGGTCAGGAGCTGAAGAGGAAAGAGTTTCTTGAGCTTCTGCACTGAGATTTAGACCCATAAACTCATTCAGCTCAGGGTACAACCTGCTAGAAGTAGCTAAAGAGAGACAGACAACATTAAAAATGGTCTAAGCTAAGTGAGAAAAATCTGATAACTCAAATTTACTTGTTTCTACAATATGAGTTTTCCAGGTATGAAAATATCAGTTTTGGAATTTCCATAATATTTCCTGATTGTTCAAGACTGTAAGAACCCTATATAATGCTTTAGTTTAGAGACAGTTAACCATTTACTTATTAGCATGCATATTACTAGTATATTGGCTGTTTATTAGTACTTACACAGCACATATTAATGCCTTATTATGCATGACCATATTTTAGATCCCTTAATCCTACCCCATACTAAACTTAACAACAACCTTACTGTTAATAAGCAGCAAATTAGGAGTTTAATGAGGCAAAAGTCAAAGTTAATAGTGAGAATTGGTTCCCAAACTAAAGTGGGACTATATATTCTAAAGCCTCTTGTGAGGTACCCATGGCACCCTTATTTGAAGCTCAGCCTCAGGGTCTAAATCTCTTTTCTGTCATACATTTTGTAATCATACATAGATACAGCACAGTATCTGATTCTTACCTATCTCTTCAGATTTTGCATCATAGTAAGGCTCAGGTTCTGGAAGAGGTAAAGCCTTTAATGGGCTCGCAGTAGGGGTGTTCTGTGCCTACATAAAATGGGGGGTTGTGGGTTAGCATTTTGGATAGATAGATATATAGTTTTAAATACACACATATACACATACATACATACATACATACACACATAAATAAATCAATGTCCAACCTTCATGAACTTATCCACCTTCATGTCTTCTAGAGATGGATACAGTGACATGGTTATTATTCTGTTTCGAGCACACTGGATGAATTTCCTGAAATTTTTTAAATATTTTAGTTATTGTAACAATAGAAATACAATTTACTATTTAAAAACATAAAACACGTCATAGAAAGGTAGTCCAGACAATTATTATTATTGTTATTATTATTATTACTAGACTTAAAACGCATCTTTATTGTATGGCCTTTCCTGATTTTTAATTTATGGATTAGTGTTGTTATCTTGGATTTTAATTTGTATTTTATTTTATACTTTACTGTATTTTATGATTGTTTTGTACAGCATTTTGGTCAGTGTAAGCTGAATTTCTCTATAAATAAAATTTACTTACTACTACTACTATTATTATTATTATTATTATTATATTTATTTGGAAATGTGGAAATAAGGAAATGTAAAAAAAAAGAATTAAACATTTCCTTATTTTCACATTTCCGTGTGTAATTTTCGCTTTATAAAGATACTAAATGACAACAAATATAGGCTATTAGGCTACTGGTCGTTCGCGCAAGGTTTGTTGCTTGAATGTATAGGTTGCGCGTTATATAGAATAAAAGACAGCGCAATAAAAGATATTATATAGAAATAATTAATAGTTATACATAATAGCTGTGACTGTGACAAGTCAACGTTAGCTCGTTTTCTGACGCTTTGTAAGAATGCGGCCAGGATGATGCGCACTCACCTTGACGCTGCAGAAGTCTAGTCGCACCAATAAGTATTATATGGCTTCAGTGCTCGTCGGTCCGGTTTATTCGATAGTAAACGTATGACAGCTGATTTAGTTCACTGGATCTTAGAGGTAATGAATGTAATGTCATCGGGTGTGCTGGATGAGGGAAATACAGCCTACTCGAGCGCCTGTCAGCACATCTCCTCTGAGTGAGCGCCCTCGTTCGACCAAAATAGCTATGCTTGCTCGCAGTACATGAAAACGCGAGGGGAAAAAAGCATTGGCCTGTGCTTTTCTGCTGGACTGCAACAGTTTTAAATTATACAATTTTTGATAATAATAATAATAATATTAATAATAATAGGCAACGAGAAGCTGCAGTACACATCAAAACAGACAAAATTACCAAATAAACAACATGTACAGAATCTTATGAGCATTTTTCATGAGCATTCCAAAGTACTGATTTTAGTGGTTTTGAGAAGAAGAATTTACCTTTGTGACATAGGCTACTATGTAAAAGTAATACATAATACATAGCAACCTGATACACACACACACCCTGCTAACACACGACGTAACAGTTACGTAATTGTGTTAGCTGGGCACACACAGGTTTGTTTTTATGGTTTATGGGGACTCTCCATAGGCGTAATGGTTTTTATACTGTACAAACCGTATTTTCTGCTGTCCTACACCAACCCTACACCTAAACCTACCCCTCACAGGAAACGTTCTGCGTTTTTAGATTTTCAAAAAACTCATTCTGAATTATTTATAAGCCTTTTGAATTACGGGGACACTGAAAATGTCCTCATAAATCACTTTCTCGTTGTAACACCTATGTCATACCCATGTTATTATACAAATTTGTGTCCTCATAAACCACATAAACATGCACACACCAAAGTGGCACAGGTTACTCCAATAATCCTCTTAAACCTTCCGAAAAAGGGGCATTGGCTGTTTGTTGTCATTCATATAGTCATTTACATTTTTATTTATGTGTAAAGATTTTATTTTATATGTGTAGGCCTAAATATTACCATCATTTGATGATGGCACACTGTTAAAAAAATATTTTAGTGTGAAGTTAAAGTATATTCCGAGTTACACTTTTCACAGTAGGATTTCTCTTGGATCTGCACTCAGAAATGTATTGTAAACAAACAGCATCATACTGTGTTTCTAGCTTGTCATAGTTTTCATTTATCATACTTCTGACACGACTAGACCAGAAATTTGAATATAAATGTGTAATGTCAGAGCCCTAAACAAATGGGATCATCAATCACCATTATGGTGACTTCAAACCAATTATAGTAATAAACAAATACATTTCTCACAGTGGCACAGTTAAAGACAACTTTGTAATGTGAATTTACAGTAAAACCAGAACAGTAAATGTCCATTCACAGTCATTTTATTTCACAGTACATTTCTGACTGCAGTAATTTATTGTAAAATAATACACTTTTTGATCCTGTAATTTCCTGGCAATTTTTTTATTTTGGGCTTTATTTGACTTTATTATCATAGGCCAATGTAGAGTGCTACATTTTCATTGATTTCAGTCCATCATACAAAGTCCAATAAGAACAAATCAAATCATCATTTAACATATAGAAACTAGAAAGACTGCCATTTCACTTGTCCTATAGGCAAAGATCTTCATGTTCCTTCTTGCATCTTATACTTTCCATCTACTTCCATTTCCTATCTTAACTGTTCTGTGGTGGTGTTGGTTTTCTTTCTGTATCTGAGAAGGACATCTCGTGATGGTGGCAGTATACCCAGGCCTGCACGAGTACTGTCTGGAAACAGAGTGGCATCAGGGTCACTGAGCTGTAGGTCATAATGCCACAGTGTCAGTGCGAGGAACTGTTTAATCTCATTTACTGCAAAAAAACGGCCAGGGCACTCGCTAGCACCAGAACCAAACGGCAACAAGAAATGCTTTAACCGTCGCTCATTTTTGAAGAAATTACTCTTTCGTTGACCTTTTTCATCCAGGAAGCGGTTATATTTGAACTCCTGGGAAACAGAGGAACATTGTATTTACTGTACATGGCTGTCTGTGCTTAAAAAGTCATTGTGATGCCTAAAACATTGCAGTATCAAAGTTACTACTGTATAATGTAAGTACATTAAATGCATTGAGTGACATTTTATAACAATTACATGCTGTATTGGAATTGTGCAATAGGAACACTGCATTAGGAACATCTGCAATCTTTGTAATCTTGTATACATTTAAGTGCAAGCTACATACATACTACCATACTTCCATACAATAAACATAATTAACAATTAAATTCTAAATATTCTAAATATCCTACAGATGGAAATGATCTAAAACCTGTCTAATTTGTATAAGCTTGTGGTTTGGGAGAGCTCATTGGTTATTAAAAAATAATTGACAATAAGTTTGTAACACATACTGTAGGATCAGGGTAGATTTCAGGATCCAAGTGTATAAATTGGGGGTAAAGAGCAATGTAATCTCCTTTTCTCACATCAGCTGTCTGACCTGAATCCAGTGTCAACGTAAAGTCATCACTGGCAACACGTATCATAATGGAGGCACTAGACAGGCGAAGCGCTTCTTCAATAATACTTTCTGGAAAAAACAAAAAAGTATTTAACTGATACCACTTTAACATTTAATTAAAAAAATTATATTACTAATATTACTAATTATCAAAATATCACCTAAGCAGTATCGTACAAGAAAGAATGTTGTGGAAAAATATAAACAAATACAAAATTATTGATGCTGTTGGTCTGAATATCTGCATGGCTGTAGTCTTGCAATGTATCAAAAGTTGGTTGCTTCACCATTTTAATTGTCCTATTTGTAGTGAGTGATTACCTGTATGTATTGGTATTGAAAAAACACAATTTTAATTTTACAGTACTTGTTTATTTTATATTTATTTATCTTTGTTTTTTATTTATTATTTTTAATGGGGGCTAAAATGAGTGAGAACGTGCAATTTTGTCAAATCCCCCTCTCTTTCAGGTAATAATCTAGTGGGGGACCGGATAGGAGCCTGAAATGTTCACAAATATTAGTCCTCTATGGTATCTACTGTAAAAAAAAAAAAAAATTTGAATTAAAGACTCAGCTGGTTAATGATCTAGTAGAATTCTGGGGATAAGTCTACTGTATTCTTGGATTTGAGGAATTACCATAAATGAACAATAATTATGTTTAAAGTTGACATACAATAAACTAATGCTTGCCAATGCTGTCTAAAACAGTGGTTCTGAACTGGGGGAAGGGGGAACTTCTCATTTGTTTTCTCTCAATCAGAAATCAATCAATCAATCAATCAATCTGTTCACGTGTTACAGTGCAATAATCCACCGAGCGGTACGGTTCAGTACAGTACAGTACAGTATGCGATTATTTCCATTTCCATTATCAGAAGTTGCGAACCGTACCATACCACTTTTTTGGTACCCTTCCGTTGGTGTACCTAGCACAGCAAAATGTACTAAAAGGGTGGAGCTAGACTCACTGCAGAATGTTGATTGGTTGACGAGAATCGTCACTTGCGCATGCTATAAGCGTCTCCTTCACTCGTTCCGCCATGCTGTTCATGCGTGTTGGGCTTATTTACATCAGAGTGAACAAACACACAAAAAATATATAATAGTGTATTTTATCATTTTATATTTTTACACAGACAATAGCCGTTTCTCAATATGCGTTCTTGTCTGTACTTGTGTTTGTGTGAAACATCAAAACCCACATAATTTTCAAAATATTACTGTTATTGTGTCATTAAATTTAATTTTAAGAGTTTTTCAGGTGAGAATGTAGTTGTTTAAAGGGGTCATATGATGCGATTTCAAGTTTTCCTTTCTCTTTGGAGTGTTACAAGCTGTTCGTGAATAGATGAGATCCCTAAAGTTGCAAAGACTAAAATCTCAAACCCAAAGAGATATTCTTAATAAAAGTCAAGACTCGTCCACGCCCTCCTAAAACACCTCATTTAAACACGCCCCCACATGTCTATGTCACTGTGTGGGAAGATTTGCATAACGCCGCCCAAATGTTCACGCAAAGAAAGAAGGCGTAACTTTGATTCTCGCTGTAGTATTGTTGCCGCCATGTCGTGGAGACGCTGTGTGTTTCGTTGTGAAAACTACTTTGTTTGGTCTTCCAAAAGAGGACACAACTAGAAATCAGTGGTTAAGTTGTATTTACAACACTGTTCCAGAACAGTTCAAACCAAATATTTAGATGTGTGCAACGCATTTTATGGAGGACGAGGACTGTTTCCTGGGAGAGTAGCCTACAATGCCGGTGTTCTGACAAATAATGCTGACTCACAGCCTGTAAGTACGTTTTCATATTTAAAGGATTTGCCACTGATGATTCAAACGTGAGTTTTGAGCAGTGTAGAGTAGCGCTTGTTGTTTGTCGTTTCTCCGATCACAAATGCAGACATGGTTTTATGTTTACATGGCGTCATGCAATGCAACACATAAAAAGACAGTATAAGTCCTTATAATCAGTAATTATGTCCCCACTGGATGCAACAAAGGCCTCGTTTGGGTTTTATTGGTTTTGTCTCGTCACACCGGGACACGGCATCACAGTATGGTAAGGGGCGTAACATTTCCATCACACGCTTGAGGTATTCGGCCAATCACAACACACTGGATAGCTGGCCAATCAGCGTACACCTCGCTTTTCAGAACAATGAGCTTTGTAAAGATCGACACGTTTCAGAAAGGCGGGGCATAGAGGAGCAACAATAATGTACAGAATACAGAAAATAATGTGTTTTTTAGCAATGTCATATGACCCCTTTAAAATTACAATTTGCGGTTTATTTATAATGATAGCGCCTATTTGAAAATTTGCTGGAGATGTGAGCTCCAGGCGATCACCGGGTGCTCAGTGCTCATGTATCTGGCTGATAGCAGCCTTAACGCGACTAGTCCTTCTGACTTTTGCCTCTGGCTCGGATGTCTCTGTAGTGGTTAAACATGAAATATAATTTGTTTTGGTTATATAACAGGCAATCGTTGGTCTCATGGATCTATTATTTGTTCCAGGTCATATCGTTTTGGCTGAGCACAAAGTTATGTTTCATAACTTTATATATTTATTTCATTTTACCATATAGCGCTGACTTTGTAGCGTACATTTGACTGAATTGTTTGCTTTTGTCTTTATTTCCTATTATATAAGCCTCTTATACTTTGTACTTATACATTTATAATGGCTATTATTGGTGAAGCTGACATTTAACAAAAGAGGCAGAGTTGTGCTTTATGTCATACTGAGAAACAGCTATTGTCGCGCTTTCTTCTTCACGCGAGAATGGTGTCGATTGCTACTTTCCAGTAGACATGACACCTAAC